TCTTATCCTGTACTAGACCCCTAACACAAGCTCGGAACACTATAAACCATCACAGGTCCTCCAGGGAGAGAGCCGGTTACCTTGGTTACCAGTGCCCGCCTCTCCTGGGAGATACTCCAAAGGATACTTTTCTCTTTTGGTTTTGTGTTTTGAGACAAGGTTTCTCTATGCAGCCCTGGCTGTCCTGGAACTCACTCCCTAGACCAGACTAGCCTTGAACTCAGAAATCCGCCTGCCTCAGCCTCTCGAGTGCTGGGATCAAAGGTGTGCACCACCACTGCCCGGCTAGAGGATGCATTTCTAAGGGTTGCTCCCATTCAATCAGTGCTTTAGCCCCACAGCCCCAGCTTCAGAACACAAGAGCTCAGCTGCTCCAGTGGCTGGATGCAGGGTAACTGGTTCAAGCATGGTCATATTATCTAATGCAGCCCCATCAGAACCCTGCCGCAGGACCTGTCCAGCTGGCAGCTGGAAGACCGAACATCTGGTGTTGATGGGGTAAACACGGTGTGAGGGGTGAGGCTGACCCTGAAGGCTAAGAGAGCCTGTGAGATCGCAGCTGTTCTGAGGCCTGATTCTGGCCTCTGCCTGCTCCACCTGCCTTCTAGTTCATGAGCCAAGAAGCAGCCCTCCCCCCTCCTCCCCCGGAAGCTAGGTGCCAGTGGTTTTGCCCCGCTCAACCAGCAACCCCAAAGAATGCTATCTCTTTATAAAGCAAAGAACAATCAGACTGCAACCCACAGAACCAGGGAGGCTACATAGCAGGGGGGACCCTAGGATGACTGTGGCTTCTAATAAGTTTTGGTTTTACTCAATCACTGGGCAAGCCTCAGTGAAACATTTCACTATTAGGATAAGAATTTGTACTGTATCAAGCTGATAATAGATAGATAGATAGATAAATAAATAAATAAATAAATAAATAAATAAATAAATGGGGGGGAAGAATGCTCTCTCTTCTTTTCTTTTTTTTTTTTTTTTTTTTTTTTTGGTTTTTCGAGACAGGCTTTCTCTGTGTAGTTTTGCGCCTTTCCTGGGACTCACTCTGTAGTCCAGGCTGGCCTCAAACTCACAGAGATCCGCCTGCCTCTGCCTCCCGAGTGCTGGGATTAAAGGCGTGTGCCACCACTGCCCGGCTTTTTTTTTTTTTTTTTTTTTTTTTTTGTGAATGCTCTCTCTTAAAAGCCAGGAGGAGAACAGATGTCCTGAGACCCAGATTCCCTTCCACCTAAGGAAAGGGCTCTAACCCCATGGGACTGGCCTAGGCCCTCTGGATAGGCGAGACAGTTGTTTAGCTTGAACTGTTTAGGGGGCCCCCAGGCAGTGGGATCGGGATCTGTCCCTGGTGCATGAGCCGGCTCTTTGGAGCCCAGTGCCTAGGGTGGGACACCTTGTGCAGACATGGTGCAGGGGGGAGGGGCTTGGACCTGCCTCAACTGAATGTACCAGGCTCTGCTGACTCCCCATGGGAGACCTTGCCTTGGAGGAGGTGGGAATGAGGGGGTGGGTTGGGGAGGAGGCTGGGGGGCGGGAGGAGGGAGGAGAGGGGAATCTGTGGTTGGTATGTAAAATGAATAGAAAATCTCTTAATAAAAATTTTAAAAAAACAAATAAAAGAAAAGGGCTCTAATGTCAGGGCACAGAAACTAAAAAGCAAGAACATTGGGCTGAGGCTCCCTTCTGAACTCACGGGCCTGGGATTTGGCACAAGCGACAGCCACTCTGAGCCTCAGGCCCCTCATCTACAAAGGGGATAATCGTATTTTCTCTGAAGCGTTAGTGTGAGACTGAAATTAAATAGTCTGGCCACATCTTCTCTCTGTAAGTTGTAGCAGTTTTTAGGACTTTCTCCCCTTGCCCCAACCCCCAAGCTTTTCTTTTCTCTTCCACTAGAACATCCGGCATTGAGTGGGACAAAGTGGTCTGTAATAACCCTGAATTGCTTCAGAGTGCGGTCGGCCCTTGAGGATAAGAAGCCTCGGGCCTTGCTGCAGGAGCTAGAGAGGAGGGCCCTTGAATCTGGCATGGTATCGCATGCCTGTGATCCCAGCACTTCACAGGGACAAGAGAAGGATTATGAATTTAAATTCATACTCAGCTCTGTGATGAGGTCAAGGCCAACCTGGGCTACATTAGACCCTATCCCAGCACTCAGGAGGCAGAGGCAGGCAGATCTCTGTGAGTTTGAAGCCAGTCTGGTCTATAGAGAGAGTTCCAGGATAGCCAGGGCTACACAGAGAAACCCTGTCTTGAAAAACAAACAAACAAAGGTAGTTCAGCCCTTGTGTTAGACCACAGGGAAGTGACTCCAGAGCCATATAGTCACTGGGACATGGATTCCTAGCGAGCACAGAGGGACTTCCCAGGACCATTCCAGATTCATCACTTGTTTACTTCACTCATTCAGCAAACAGCAGAGTCCCTGGGCATGGCTTTGTGAGGCTTAAGGCTGAATAGAGGATGCAAAGTAAGATGAAGCCTTGTCCTCAAATGGTAAATACTCTTGGAACAGCAACGTGGAATTGAGGGATAAATGACACACAGCTTTCTGTTGTCCCTACCCTGGCAATCCTAGGCTATAACACATTTTCTTTGCTGGGCCTCTTCCCAGCACACACACACCAGCATCCTGCCTATCCGCCGTTGACATGTTAACCAACCATTGATGGAGTCGGGATTGCTCAAAACTCTTCAGTGGTTTCTCAACTCGTGGAGAAAACCCAGATGCCGGGCACACGTGGTGGCACATGCCTGTAACCCCAGAACTCAGGAGGATCACAAGTTTGAGTCCAGTTTGGACTGCATCCAGGCTGTCTCAACAGAAGATCCCAGATGCCTCCTCATCTTGGCATTAAGACCCTTCAAGCCAGAGTCCCACTGAACTCACAGACGATCTCCTTCCAGACGTTTGCATGCCTCAAACTGAGGTTGGTCCTGTGCTTCCTCCTAGCTTCCCCCCAGCTTCCTCTCAGCTTCCCCCCAGCTTCCCCCCAGCTTCCTCCCAGCTTCCCCCCAGCTTCCCCCTCAGTTTCCCCCCCAGCTTCCCCCCGCTTCCTCTCAGCTTCCTCCCAGCTTCCCCCCAGCTTCCTCTCAGCTTCCCCCCAGCTTCCCCTCAAGCCTTTACCCACATTATTTCCTCTTCCTGCTTCCAGCTCCAGGACCTCTCAATCCTCTGTGTCCTGGAGCGCTTCTACATCTTCCGGGCGTCTCACTCAGCGTCCCTAGTGACAAGTTCTCTCCTACAGGCTCTGCATCTGCCTTGGGCACCGGAAGCCCGCACACTGGAGGTAAGGCCAGCACGTGTTCTTTGAAGCTGAGAAGCTGTCAGGGCTCTACCGTGAGATGCCTTTGAGAAGTGACCTGCAGCGGATCTTCACCTCTTTCCCCCCGGAACTTTGGGTGCCCCTACTTGTTTATGCAGATGTGAGGAGAACAGTCCTCACACCCTGTGGGAACGGTATTCAGGGGAGCTTGCGGATGGCCAAGGCTGCCCTTCCCAATATCTCACATAACGGATCTCCGGGGCAAACCTGTCCGGGGTCAGGCAGTCTCTAGGGACCTGGGACCCTCGCTTTCCTGGTGACACTGGCATCATTCAAACTCTTTGGACAGGCTGGATCTTCCTCAAAGGGTCACTGGCACAGCAGACACTGAGCTCCAAGGAAAGCTGGTCAGAGGTCAGGGTTCAGGCCCAGAAGAAAGGCCTTGACTTCCTTTGGCTCTACACGACCCCACAAGTCTATAGTCGAGGCTAGACGCGCTCTGGGTCCAACATCCCCAGCGGAGCAGAGAGGCTCTGGGAACAGCGACCAAAGTTAGAATTAAAGGCAGAAACTTCAGAACCTACCAACATGGTCTGTGCAACCGCTCCATGGGTTTAGTGGTCTAGACAGGCAACAGTGATTCATCTCCTTGTTACTATGGCATCAGAGGCAGAAAACTGGGGCCAGCCTGTCACTCACTCTGCCCGGCTTTTGGAAATGCCGTGTAAGTCTGGAGTGAGCTTCAGGGTCTCTAGACAGTTTGGCTGTAAAGCAGACTATACTAAAGGGGGACTGTGCTCAAGTACTCACTAACCAAGGCATTTCAGAGGCTTGGCCAGGTTACCGGAGAGAAAAGAAATATAATCACAACTCCATCCAGAACAGCGGGTGGGGAGGGGGGAGGGGGCACATCAGCAGTGTCTCCAGCATGAGCTGCTCTGTTTTGAACTAAGTCTGGGCTCTGCCATGAGACAATGGAGTTTTTGTTTGTTTGTTTTTTGTTTTTTGGAGACAAGGTTTCTCTGTGTAGTTTTTGGTGCCTGTCCTGGATCTCTCTCTGTAGACCAGGCTGGCCTCGAACTCACAGAGATCCGCCTGGCTCTGCCTCCCGAGTGCTGGGATTAAAGGCGTGCGCCACCACCGACCGGCCGAGACAATGGAGTTTTTAAAACAGAAGGGTAACTTTAATCTTAATTTCTCTGTAGTATTTTGCATGACTGTAGATGTACAACACCGTGTTGAGAGAGCAGAAGAGAGAGAGGAGAGAGAGGAAGAGAGGGGAGGAAGAGGGAGGAGAGAGGGAGGGAGCTGCAGCCTATGACTGGAATAAGAACCCAGAGGCCTCTGAGGAGGAGGCTGGCTGTGAAGGGTGGTGAAGGAGGGGTCTCACAGGAAACTGCACTTATGGAACCAGTGTCCCTGCAGCAAGTTGGGAGCTGCCTCTCAGTCCCCACTTCTTGCCCTCAGCCTTCTGGCAGTTCTGTGATTAGCGTTTAAGAAAAATAATGCAGAAATAGCAGACTTGCCCACATTCAACAAAATGTAGCACAAAGATCATCAAACAGGTGGCTGGGTTCTTCCCCACCCTGAGCTCTGGCTTCATTAGCATCCTAGGGACCAGCTGTGCCCACTGGAACCCTCATCGACCTGAGCTCAACTCCCCTCAGCTCAGCTGGCTCCCACGGCTGGGACCTGAGCTCAGCTGCCCGACCCCTGCTGGAGCAAGACGCAACTAACCTGAAAGGCAAAGACATCCTTGACCAGAGCCTCCCCGAAGACAAAGCTGGAGCCGGCCACGGTGTAGCTCAGGAAGACCTAGAGGAGACACAAAGACAGAGTGAGACTCTGAGGAGAGGAGGGGCAACCACGGCCAGAAGGCCGGGCTGGAGTGAGTAGGTCCAGCCCCGATGAAAGAAGGGCGCCGTAGCCACAGGCCTTCCTGCCTCAAGATGTACCAGCTCGGGGACACGGTCCCTGTGTGCAGCCTCCAACAGCTGTGTTATTTAATAAGACCTACAAGAGTCAAAGCTGGCCGGGCGGTGGTGGCGTACGCCTTTAATCCCAGCACTCGGGAGGCAGAGGCAGGTGGATCTTTGTGAGTTCGAGGCCAGCCTGGGCTACAGAGTGAGTTCCAGGAAAGGCGCAAAGCTACACAGAGAAACCCTGTCTCGAAAAGCCAAAAAAAAAAAAAAAAAAAGAGTCAAAGCTGTAAACTGTTACATATAGTTTATCATGGTGAGTTTGACATTAACCTGACTACAGGAGACACTGTCAAAACAAAACAGATATATAACTTCAAGAGCTAGTTCGTGCCTGTAATCTCACTTGGGAAACAGAGGCAGGGGGATTGCCAGGTGTTCAAGGCCAGCCTGGGCTATACAATGAAACTGTCTCAAAAAGTAAAATAAGCAAGCAAGCAGCCCTGAAGTTTGAGGGGATAGCTCAGTTGGAACAGTGCTGGCCTCAGTGGAACAAGGACCTAAGTGTGGATCCCCAGAATCCATAGTTTTAAAAAACCAGGTGTGGGAGCGGGCGCTTAGAACCCCAGTGCTGGGGAAGTAGACACAGGGACCCTCAGGATCTCTGGACAGCCATCCTACTTGGCAGGCTCCAGACCAGTGGGAGACCCTGCCTCCAAAGACAGAGATGTTGCCTGCAGAACAATACCTAAGACTGCCTTCCAACCTTTACATGCATGTACACTTATAGCTATACACCGTGAAGACACACACACACACACACACACACACACACACACACACACACACAAGCTAAGCCAGGCCAGCTCCAAGAGTTTTTACATGCAACGACTCAGAATAGGAAAACCCAGATGATATCAGCCAGGCATGGCGGCACATGCTTTTAATCCCAGCACTTGGGAGGCAGAGGTAGGCAGATCTTTGTGAATTTGAAGCCAGCCTGGTTTATAGACTGAGATCCAGACCATCAAAGACTACATAATGAGACCCTGTCTAAAAAGGAAAAAGAAAGAAAAAAAAAAGGCAGCTGAAAAAAGAAAACAAAACCAAGTATGACTTCAATAAACCTTCTTTCTAAATCCAAGTGCCAAGTGGGCGATTTTTGTTGTTAGCAATTTGAACTCATATACATCCTAAGCCACTGAAAAGCACTGCAGGTCACATGACCTGGCATCTGCACAAGCTGAGAACCTCACCATCTGGGAATCCATTCACACCAGACCCAGCCTCTAAAAGGATGAGAATGGCTGGGTTCCTCGCTGGTGGCTCCTGCGAGCTCCTGGTCAGCCCTACCCCACCCCCAACCCCCCAGCCCCCATCCCCCAGCCCCCACCCCCCACCCCCACTCCATCCTTACCCCAGCTATGGGGCCCTAGTTTTGCTGGTCCCAAACCATCTCTACGACCTCCACACTTATCTTCCCCTAAATCAAGTGGCCTCTCCCCAACTCTTCGGAAGCAGGGTCCAACATACACACCTGGATCTGATCACCGAGCCACTGGAATGCAACAAATCCTGGTTCTGTTCTGATGACAAAGAGACCCAGCACAAACTGCAGCCCAAGGCCCCAGGACACAGTCCGCCATGACACCTGCCAGCCAACAGAAAGGTCCTAGTGAGCTCAGATGCTTGGGGGATTCACAGGTCCATGGGAGTGGGATGGGAGTGGGAGGGGAGGGGTGGGGGGAGAGGGGAGGGGGGAGGACACCACAAGCTTTGTCCTGCATGCAGTTGCCTGGGTCTAGCCTAGCACTGGACCTGCTGCTGACAGTCACACGGATTCAGACTAGGCCAGGCTCTTGGCATCGGTGATTCGGGGCAATACAGTATTCTACAGACTGTTGTGCCATTTGCCTGGTCTCGAGCATGACATAGCATTCGGTTCTCAGACCATGATGGCCTTAGGATACAGACATGAGCCTGCCCAGGCCCAGCTCCTGTCCAGCTCACTGTATGACTCCTGTCTGCCTCGACCCTCACCATCTATCCTCCATGGGCTCTCAGCCCCCTGACCTCAAGTCTATGGATGGCCCATGTGACAGAGGAGAGCCCAGGCCCTAGGGCTGCTTTTCCCACTCAGCACAGAACGACTCCTTGAAACCGCCCTCAGACACGTGTGCAGCCATGCTCTGAAGCGCACGGGGGTCCTGATTCTGGGGCATGGTTGCTTAGCTATGGAGACAGTGAGAGAAGAGCCCACCCACCCAGAACAGCAGGGACTTCCCTCGTGAGCAGGACACTTTGTGCTGGAGGGCCAGCCTCACTCCAGAGTTTCCAGCTCAATAGGTGAATCAGGCCTAAGATTTAGCATTTCTAATATGTTCCAAGGAGATGTTGCAGCCCCTGGTCTGGGAAGCAGACCTCAGGAATCACTATTGTAAGCTAATGATTTCAGGATACTCTGGGATTCTCCCACAGAACCAGAAGCTCTCAGGTCCCCTATTTTCTGGGGTGGTTCCTGAGCCCACAGACCTAAGGAACATATCACTAAGGAAATAAACAACCCCAGTGGTCTGTAAGTTTGGAGAGATATCAGCAGTCCTCCCCAGAAAGCCCCCTGTTCCCTGGGGAACTCTAGGACTTCTTAGATATCTTTCCACTTAGGGTCTCCAGGCCCAATATGTCCCTCAACAGCTGCACAGGGAACTTGTCCCAGTGCACATTGCTCTTCCCCAGCTGAGCCTCAGGTGTTCTCCCAACAGGAGCATCCATCTCCCCCCAGCCTGCAGAGAGCATCCACTGGCTTCCAGCCTAGGTAGCCAGCTGAACACTCACAGCACGGTGATGCTTGGAGCCAGCGAAGAGAAGGGCAAGGAACACACAGATCCCCGCAAAGGACACCAGCTGTTCAGGCCGCTGGGAGGTGTCCAGAGATAGCCACAAGATCAGGCCTAGGGCAGCAGCAAGGGCTAGACCTCTACAGGAGAGAGAGAGAGATAAGAAGCCATCAGCCTTAGCATCTGACACACACGCGCACACACACACACACACACACACACACACACACGCACGCACGCACGCACCCTTAGGGACCCAGGGAAAGAGTGACTCTTCCTAGTACTCTAGACAATGCCCTGTGGGTTACAGGTTCTTTATTCTGATGGTTGGAAACAGACCCTCTCCTTGGCTCTGGCAATTCCAGACCCAATAGCCTCCCATCCTTTTGGGTGGGTCTTTGAGATAGTTTCATCAGAGGCATTCACTAATCAGAACTCAGCTGGATGTGCCAGAGAAACACTGTAGCTCTCTGGAGCTTTCTCTCTGGGCCACTGTTTGATTTCCAGTTTAATATGCCATCACCGTAGAAGGCACAAATAACAATCTTTGGCTGAATTCCAGTGGTCCACTATAGGGCCTGACTTCTTCCAGTAGACTGTGAAGAATGCTGGGAGCAGTCTAGGGAATGTGGGTGTAGAGGCCTGTGGTCTTGAGCTGGCAAGATGGTTCAGTGGATAAAATCGCTTGCCACACCATCCTGATGACCTGAATTCAACCCCCATGGTGGAAAGAGAAAACCGACTCCCAAAAGTTGTCTTCTGACCTCCACATACATCCACGCCCACCCACAACAATCATGAGCGTGCATACAATAACATATATAACAAGATAGATTTTTTTTTTTTTAAATTAAGGTCTTGCCAGGCAGTGGTGGCGCACATCTTTAATCCCAGCACTCAGGAGACAGAGCCAGGTGGGTCTCTGTGAGTTTGAGGCCAGCCTGGGCTACAGAGTGAGATCCAGGACAGGCACCAAAACTACACAGAGAAACCCTGTCTCAAAAAAACAAAAATAAATAAATTAAATAAAATGAAATAAAAAATTAGGGTCTCGCCTTCTTGGACTTTAAACTTGCTTGGGTCCTGTTGCCCCGTCTTCCTGTCCAGCTCACCTTTTTGGACTGTGTGTCCTCTCATCTGCTATATTTAGAAAGTAAACACCTGTTTTGATGTATAGGCTCACGGCTAAGAGGAGTTTGCCCTGACCCTCAGATGAGACTTTGGACTCTGGCCTCTCCAGCCCATGTCTGACCAAGTAAAGACTCTGGATGGTTGAGGCAGGAAGCCACATCATGTGTGTGAGAAGCACGGGGTTTGGGGTGGGTCAGGCAGGGATGCTATGGTTTGGGTGTGGTTTTTCTCATCAAAACTCATGTTGGATTTGTTTTGTTTTGAGACAGAGTCTCGTATAGACTAAGCTGGCCTCAAACTTGCCATCCCCCTGCTCCCAGCTCAAGTGCTGGGATTATAGGTGCTTACCACCGTGTCTGTGTCTGGCTTTTCGTGGTGAAATTAACTGTCACTGTGCTGGAAGGAGAGTCCTTTGAGAAATAATCAGGTCCTCTCCTGCAGAAACAGGCTAATCGTAGGGGACATGAGTGAATTGTCACTCCACGGGTCTGGATTAGTTACTGTGGGTAGCAGGCAGGTAGTATAAATCAAGGTGGCCCATGCTGTTTCTGCTCTCCCACGGGCTCTTGCTTACCCTTCTGCTGCAGTGAGCTGAAGCACAAGGTCAAACAAATGCCAATGCCAACCTCTTGGAATTCTCAGACTCTGGAACTATGAGCCAAAGGTAAACCTTTCTTCTTTATAAATATCTCTGTCTGTAGTTTTTAGTCATAGTCACAGAAAAGAGTGGCAGGGGATCTGCTACTCTTTTTCCTAACTTCCCTCTCCTCTTGCTGGTGTCTCTGTGGTTTCCAAAACATAATTTTTAAAGATTTGTTTTATTTTTAATTGTGTATATATGTGGGGGAGGTGGGTATGTGCATATGAGTATATAGGTGTCTGCTGAGGCCGGAGTAGTGGATCCCCTGGAGCTGGAGTTACAGGCTGTTGTAAACCATCCAGTGTGGGTGCTGGGAACTAAACAAGAGTCCTCCGCAAGAATGGTAATGTTTTTAACCACCGAGCCATTTCTTAAGCTCTAGGACTATTAAAATAATGTTTTATAAAGAATTATTTATTACTAGTGTGTGTGTGTGTGTGTGTGTGTGTGTGTGTGTGTGTAAGTCAAAGGACAACTTTTGGGAGTTAGTGCTCTCTTTCCACCATGGACTCCAGGGATTAAACACCAAACTATTATTCAGAGACATGGCTAATTATATCAGAACCCCCTGGGGGCTAATTTAAAGTGTTGGCACATGGCCCAACCTAGCCTGTTGAACTGGGCTCCAGGGATGTCCCCAGGCATCTGTGACCTCTGCAGCTGGCTGATAAGCTAGCCCCAGGTGATCCACCTAATAAGACATCATGGAAAGGCCTCTGTGCTTAGTGGCCAGGCTCTTGAATAGAGAAAACTCACCAGCCTGGCTTTAGCCCTCAGTGACCTTTGCATCCCCAAAACTGGTAAAATGCCAGAGCTGGCCGATGCTTTTTGAAGCCAACAAGCACCTCTGCCCAGGGCTCCAGGGGGCAGGCAGAGTGGGACGCATTCCTCTAGGAGGCCAGAGGCTGAGGGCTCACTCACCTTTTCAGCCAGAGGCTCAGGCGAGAATGGCCTTGAAACTTCCCACACCTCCTCAGCCTGGGCCCCAGAAGCCTCTTCAGCAGACCGTAGGTCAGGAAGAAGAGAACCACACAGGTGATGACCAGCAGCGCTAGGGCCCTCTGGAAGTCCAGCAGGCAGGCGGTGATCAGGAAGGCAATGTAAGCTGCAGGAGGAGGCATTGGCCGGCTCAGCAGGGGAAGACTGCTGCTCAAAACCCTGGCTCTGCCTCGCGCTCCCCAGGAGCATTAGGGGCGGGGAAGTCACTCCGTTCCTCCTCGCTTTCCTCATCCAGAAGTGGAAACTCTTGTCCCTACTGTGTCAGAAGGTTATTAGGGGACTGGGGGCACAGCTCAGTGGTGGAGGCTTGCCCAGCATGCCCGAGGCCCTGGTAAAATGTGTGAAAAAGGCCTTTGCACATTATAAAGTGATGGCAGAGACTGAGAGACATAATGGGCCTCAACAGAGCACCTGGCCTGAGCCATGCTAGGTCTAGAGGACCGGGCTGGGTGAGTCAGTGACTCCATGACTCCAGATGGTGCCTCCACCCTATGCTGTTAATCAATGATCTCTCTCTCTTCTCCTTCCCTCCTTCCTGTGTGCGTATGTGTGTGTGTGTGTGTGTGTGTGTGCGTGTTTATGTGTGTGTGGGTGCCTGCTTGTGCAGAGGGTAGTTAGGTTAGGTTTAGGCCACACTCATCTATCACAGCCTCCTTCTCTCTCTGCTCTCACAGAAATGGCAGGCACCCCACTAGGTCTGTGGGTCTGTAATCCTCACTTCTAAGAGTTCAGCAAGCTCAGGTTACTCGACTCTGGGAACTTGATAAGCCCCCTGCTGTGACCCTGCCTTCCGCCGTCCCCTGCTGCCCAGGCAACCTGACTACAAGCACATATTATTGACTACTCATTAACTACTTGGCACGGGACTGCCCTCCTCTCTTTGAAATCTTTAAGACAGTGGTTCTCAACCTGTGGGTCATAAATATCCTGGATATCAGCTATTTATGTTATGATTCATGCCAGTAGCAAAATGACAGTTATGAAGTAGCAATGAAAATAATTGTTTGGTTGGGGGTCACCGTGACACGAGGAACTGTATTAAAGGGTCGCCGCATTGGGACGGTTGAGCACCACTGCACTAAGAGAAGGAACCCCGCCCACTCTGTCTCCTGGGCCTGCACTCATCCAGTCCCTGCCACGCTGCCTGTCCATAGTACTAAGAACTGCACCGTAACAGGGCCCCAGACCTTAGCACAACTGACTTCATGATGGAATGACACCATGATGTCAGGCCATAACACTCAGCACACAGACAGCACCACCTGCCAAAACGAAAACAAAGATCTAATCTACCAAAGTCCACAGTTCTGGGAAAGTCTCTGGATGTACTAACCTTGCTTTTTGGCTTCTGTCGTTTCGCTTCTGGCTCATTGTTCTTGTTAACTGAAGTGTGTCAACCCAGGACATGGTTTTTGCATTTAAAAGCTCACTCTGAGAAAGGCTGGGGACTACACTGGGATCCTGAACACCCAGGGTAGTCGCTGGCGGGCTAATAAAGATGTGTCCCAGCAGTCTTCTCTGGTGGACACCCCACAACACTACTGATACATCTCCTACCTAAGAGGACACTCATGATGGAGTTTTCCACGTGGATGTTGGGGACCTGTGCTGTGTGTCAAGCACTGTACTGGTGAAGCCATCCCCCAGCCTCGCCAACAACAGTTTACCCCTAGAGTTTCCTCTTCCCTGGCCTGGCTCTCCTGTGGGCCACGGAGCCAGTCTGGGTATTTGCCTCAGGAAAGGAATATGGCGACAGCTGAGGGGGATGCTTCTCCCTGGCTTTGGAGTTTCAAAATCCAAGGCTCTCGAAGAGTGGAAAGGACTTGGCCACCAATGGAAAATGTGAGGCGAAGCAGTTCAAGGCAATGTGAGTCTCACCTTATCCTGCCACCTGCTCTCAGATTACTTACAGCAGGACACAGCAAGGGTCCTGGGGCCGGGACCTGAAAATTGAGGCGTGGACCTCACAAACTGGGCTAAGCCCAGGGTGTTTGTGGCATGGTAAGCTGAGGGACCCTAGCTAGGCCTCGCTTCCTGAGAGGAGTCCCAACAGAGCACGGGCCTTCAGAGAGGAATGCTGTGTATGGCCTGCAGGTAGGCAGAACTCTCGAGCACTGCACCCCACAGCAAGCACAGAAGCTCTGGAAAAGCCCTGCAGTGGTGCAGAGAGGTGGGGAGGTGGGAGCCCAGGGCGGGTGCACCCTGGAGAAAGGAGACACCAGAGTCACCTGCCCTGAGAGAAGCTAGGACAGTCGCAGAAGTAGACGGGTCAGTAGACACTGAGGAGGTGAGGGCCTGCTGGAGAAAGGGTTCTGAAGGACAGTCCAGAGTCACAGAAATCAAGCTCCGGTCACTCCAGAGATGACAGACTTGAAGTTAATCAAGCTGAACAAATGAAGTTCCCCTTCTCTCACCAGGGAGCTCGCACGGAGCAGGACTCTCTTTACCCCTTCCAGCTGCAAGACCTGCCTCCCTCCTCTCCTCCCTCCTGGAGCCAAGACAACCTTGAATTACAACCCTAACCAACCAAACAAGTCCAGGATCTCATAGGCCGTGAGGGCAAACAATTCACCATGTAGCCAAAGATGACCTTGAATTCTGACCTAGCCTCCTCCATCTCCCGAGTGCTGCAAGTCAAGGACATGCCAGTGCCGTTTTGTGTCGTGCTGGGACTGAACGCAGGGCTCCGTGCACACACACTAGGTGAGATCCCTACTGAGTGAGCTGCAACCCCAGGCCACTTAAAAAGAAAACTGGAATTTATCATGGGGTGGCACGCAGGTGCCACTGCACAGGTGTGGAGGTCAGAGGACAGCTTCGGGGAGCCTGCTCTCTCCTTCCACACCTACCTGGGTGTCAGGGACAGAACTCAGGTCCTCAGACTCGTGCGACAAGTGTGTTTGGCCTCTCAGCCACCGTCTTCCTGACCGAGCTGTTTTTGGAGACAAGGACTAATGTAGCCCAGGCTGGTCTCCACTTCACTAGATGAGGCTAGCCTTTCCTCCCATCTTCCAGGCACCAGCATGTCATTATTTCATCTTCTTTCTAAAAAGTCTCCTTAGCTCAGAAATATGTTCCAACTGCCTCCCAACAAGAACACAGGGCCGAGCTGGGCGGTGGTGGTGCGCACCTTTAATCCCAGCACTCAGGAGGCAGAGGCAGGCGGATCTCTGTGAGTTCGAGGCCAGCCTGGCCTACAGAGTGAGTTCCAGGACAGCCAGAGCTACACAGAGAAACCATGTCTTGAAACACTAAAATAAATAAATAAATAAAGAAAGAAAGAAGAAGAAGAAGACGACACAGCTGTCTTCAACCTGTGGTCACACCCTGACCCTAGCACCTCCTTCTTGCTCTCGGCAGGGAATGGTGTCTCATGCCTATAATTTCAGCAATCAGGAGTCTAAGGCAGGAGGATTGCCATGAGTTGAAGGCTATCCTGCACTATACAGTGAACTTTAGGCCAGCCTAAGCTACAAAGTGAGACTCTGTCTCAAAAACCAACAAAAGCATTTCTCCAAAGAGTTAGTCATGTGCACTCACGGTCTCCCCTGCCGGACCCCTCATCCATCCCCATTTTTTATTGCAGGGTCTCACTATGTAGCTCTGACTGACTTAGAACTCACTGTGTAGGCCAGGCTGGCCTCGAACTCACAGAGATCTGCCTGCTTCTGCTTTCCGAGTGTTAGAATTAGAGGTCTGCGCCACCACCCTAAAGCCACCTTTACATCCCTGTCCCTAAATCAGTGGAGACTGCTCAGCCCTTATCCCTGACCCTCTGTGGATGTACTGTTGGTCCTTCCCTCTTTGAAGCCCTCGGCTTCTGCAAGCTCTTTATATGTAGCTGGTCCCAGACTTTCCGTCCCTAACGCATTTCTCAAATCACTCTGCGAAGACCCTTTGGAAACGACTGCATCTGCTCGTGGCTTAGAAGTTCTACCCCTAGAAAATGGTTTTGATTTTTCCCTCCCTGTGGAGCCCATCTCCTCCACCTGTGCTCTGTGGAAGGAACCATCGTGTCCCATTTCTACCCAACCCCCCATCCTCCAAGCAGGAAGCTGAGGAGCCTTCACCTGAGACCTCCTCCATCCTGCACGCACAGTCACTTCCCAGGTTCAGCAAGCACGAATCGCTCCCTTGATTCTCAGATCCCCCGTCTCTCCTGCAACCATTTTTGATCTCAAGGTATGATGTCAATCTGGACAATTCTCAGTGTAAATCCTTCCGTGCCTATCTCTGGACTTCAGGGTCAAATCTAAGTTCCTGACTAGATCGACTGCCTCCCTCGCTCCTGATTACCAGGCCCTTCAGAGCCCTCCAGCCTCAGGAGACTCAGGCTGGGCACCCTGCAGAAACTTTACCCTCCAGCCGCACCAGACTATCAAAGCCCACACCCTGCAGGTTTTCACCTTTGCTCCCTGACCTTTGTGCTTTGAGGGGTGGGGTATGGGAGGGTCTCAACTCTCATTGCCCTCCCCTGTACCTAGCTGGTCCAAGACCATAGCTCTGAAGGTTACCATCCTCCCAGGTGGCTTATTGCACTGTGTAAGCATATTTGGGCATCTCTGTTGCTCGTTGGGAATGGGATCCAGTTAGGTTTGATGGAGACCTGAGCTCCTCTCTTGAGTTGGCCGAGTTGGGGCTTCAGCAAACCTTATTGGGGGTGAGTGAATGAGCCTTATTGACTGACTGATAGGGTGAGTGAATGAGCCTGCTCTGTGATGCGGAGACTAGAGGGGCAGTGGCTGTCTCCGGAGTGGGGCAGGGTGGGTCCCCACTTACCCGTACAGAGCAGGCCTGTGAAGACCCATTTAGACAGCTGCTTGTGCTCCCTGAAGAAGCTTCTCATCCGCACGGTCAGCTGCAGGCTCCTCCTGAGGAGAGGATCGCCAGCGTTCATAAGTGGACCCCAACTTCCACCCCACTGGAGAGCCCCCAAACCCGCAGGTAGAAGCTACTCAGGTATGTTCCCAGTGCAGTAATGGGATAAGCCCAGGCTGGCCTTGCTACCTGACAAGGCTGAGAAGCAGCCATAGTCAAGACACAAGCCGTGATTCTGCATATGCTGAGATCTGCAAGGCCACTCTGCAAGGCCACCCCTGCTCTTGGGTGACAGAGGGAACTAGCCCATAGCTAGAGGCTTATGGGCATTCAGAAAAGTACCACCATGGCTGTCCGACCTCCTCCCTGCTTCCACCTGCCCAGTGAGCAAGATGGAGAGGTTCCCAGCTCTGTATTGGTTCCCCTGGGACAGGAACATTTATTGTCTGAGTCCTCAGTGCCTATTCAAGAGACAAGACACGTAAAAGTATGCAGTCGGCCACCCCACTGCCGCGGGTGTCCAGAATAGACACTGGTCCTCTGGCCAGCTGGTCACTTGCCTGTCCCTGGGGGAAGGGCTGCTACCCAAATCTCCTCTAGGGCCCTGTTGGCCAAGCGCCTCCTTGCTCATTCAACCCTCCGCTGCTGTTGCAAGAGTTCCCCACCTGGGGGAACAAGGCATCTTCTCTAGTCCCCCCAAGAAGCTAGAGGATCCCCTGACTGCCACACCCTGTCCTTGGGGTGTCCTTCCTGCTCTGCTCAGAGCTGGATTTGGCCAGCCAGGACTCTCTAGGCTCACATCAGACCCTGTGGGTTGGTCCCTTCCTCTCTGTATAAAGTGGGAAGTCTGGCCCAGGCCAGGAGTGTTACAAACCTAGTCTTGGAGTCCCCAAGGTGGTTCAGCAACTAAATGGCAGATGAGGGAGGTGGCAGGGAGGCCTGGCCAGTTCCGGGCCTGAGAAGCCCCATGTTCACATTGGATTTCCTACTGGGATGACATCCTGGCTGCTTACAAGCAGACAAGTGGGTGCCTGGGCCCGGCTCGCCCCTGAGGCAGAGGTCTGCAGAACTCCCTTCCCTGGACTTCCTTTCGACAGACTTTCATCCTCTTTTCCTGTGACCCGAGTCCCTCACAAAGATCACCTACCATCTGGGCTTCGTCTCTGCTTTGCTCCAGCTGCCTCTGCCCTCGGAGGACTGGCTTGAGTTACCACACGGGAGCTGGCCTTCCTCCTAAAACCAGCAGGGAGCAGTCAGGGCCAGTCTTCCCACCAGGAGACAGCTGGGGCTGAAGGGCATGGAGATAGGAAAGCCACCTTGCAGACACAGGCACCCCATGAGTGGACACAGAGACTGGGTTCCTGAATGGGAAATAGGGGGCTACTTAACTAAATTCTGCAAAGCATGCATTGGGCACCTACTGTGTACAGACACACGGTGGCTTCCTGGAGACCAGACGGAAATACCTAAGTAAGGTCCCAGCAGGTCCACCCCCCCATATGACTCCAGGGCACCTCTTGCCTCCCTGTCCACACGTTATTAGTAAAGGAGAGGGAGCCTGGTTAGGAAAGGGGGGGGAACGGAGGGTATCAATCAGATTAGGCTTCACAGTTGGAGATGTGGTCCTCAGCTTGGCCTTTGGGGAGCCAAGACAAGATTGCAAGTTCTTTGAAAGCTGAGGCTTTCTCAGACACCCCACCCCATCATCTGCCTCTCTCCTCTTCTTGTGGATCAAATGTTCTTCCCTCCTGGGACCTTTGCTGACCTTTCAGGTGAGGACAGGCAAGGCAGCACACAGTGGGTATTCAGGACCCGTTTAAAGGGTGAAATAAAGGATATGCTTTGTGCTGGGGGGAGGGGCGCTCTGCTGCAGAGGTGAGCAGGACAGAGTGCGGGAAGCAGGCAGACCGAGGCCCCTCCCGCCCGTGAGCCGTGGTCAAGCCGAGGAGGTGCTACAGGGAAGCCGACAGACCATGCTTTCCAAGAACTCAGCCCCCATGTTCTCCAGGCCGTGGGCCACAGGTGTGAGAGAGACGGACTCTCTTTGCCTCCGTGTGTCCTCTGCCATGTGCCAGGCTTTTCAGCTGAAAGACAAAGAAATCAGGGAGGGCTGAGCGGTGGTGGCGCACGCCTTTAATCCCAGCACTCGGGAGGCAGAGGCAGGCGGATCTCTGTGAGTTCAAGGCCGGCCTGGGCTACCAAGTGAGATCCAGGACAGCCAGGACTACACAGAGAAACCCTGTCTTGAAAAAACAAATAAACAAAAAGTCAGGAAGGGTCCAAAGCTGAGGGGAAGGCTAGGTGAGAACAAGAGGATCCAGAGAGAGAGAGAGAGAGAGAGGAGAGAGAGAGAGAGAGAGAGAGAGAGAGAGAGAGAGAGAGAGAGAGAGAGGGAGACCCCTTCCTGCCCTCACTTCAGATCCTCTGAGAGGCAAGTCCTTGCAAGCTCCGGGTATTCCTGGAGAAGCAGTGAGCTGTCCCGTCGTCACCAGGAAGGAAAAGCAGGAGTGATGTCTGCACTTGGTACGGCCACTGTTCAGAAAAGGCCACTGCCCATCGCTTCCTACAGCAGGTGAAAATCACTGCCAGTGAATGAAGTGCTCGCTCCGTCCATCTTGAACACAGGGTTCCAGCCCCTGGATCCAAACACAGCTGAAGGCAGCCCTCCCCCTGGACTTTTCCATTCAAAGCCCAACGTACTTCCTTTCTGGTGAAGCTGCTTGCAGGTTTTAGCTCATCTGAAAATAGAGCCCCCAAGCCCCCTTTTCCTTACTGCGCTTCCCTCTCTTTTCTAAGCCTTATGGGTATCCTGCTCTGTTCACACAGCAGCTGGCTAAGCTGATCTCTTCACTCACTCAAGGAGTGAAGCTTGTGGAGCACGCCTCGAGGGCCAGGGACTGCCCGCTGCCTGGGCACACACAGGCACACAGCACACCTCGAGGGCCAGGGACTGCCCGCTGCCTGGGCACACACAGGCACACAGCTGCAGAGAGGGGGAGAGGACCCTGTGCTACTCACAGATTTGTAGTGAGCAGGCAGCGTCAGGAAGGACTGACGGAAGGACCAGTTGCTGTGGGGAGGGCTGGGTCCAACCTGCTTGGGCTTTGGCCTGTTCACTTCTGTGGAAATTCCTGGGCAGAGTCCAGAGCTGGAGTAGGTTGGGCTTCCTCAGAGCTCAGGGCCACAGCTGAGGTGGGGATGACAGCTCGGTTTTGGGGAAAGGAGGTGGGGGATCCAGGCCCTCTCAAGGCCAGGCCCTCTGGCTCCTGCCCTTTCCCACACTGACCTCTTCTCGGCCTTGCTTCTGGCCACCTCCTCCAGGAAGCCACCTTGGTTGTCCCAGCCCTCCCTGCTCCTCTTTCTGTCAGCCACGCTGGTGATTTGGTTTCACACTGTGTCTCAGCCTCCTCTCCTCAGGGGATCAGCACTCATCTTCTGAAACTGGAAGACACAGAAAGCAGTGTCACTGTCCCAAAAGGGATGGGGGGGGGGGGGGGCGGCTCAGGTCCAAGCATCGTACAGTCACAAAAGCAAACCAAAATCACACCATTTCCTTCCTCCCTCCCTCCCTCCCTCCCTCCCTCCTTCCTTCTCTTCATCCCTCTCTCACTCCCTCTTTACCTCCCTCCCTCCTTCCCTCCCTCCCTCTCTCTTTACCTCCTTCCGTCTCTCCCTCCCTCCCTCCCTCCCTCCCTCCCTCCCTCCCTCCTTCCCTCCCTTTCTTCCTTCCTTCCTCCCTTCCTCCTTCCTTCTCTTCCTCCCTCCCTCCCTCCCTTCCCCCTTCCTTCCTAAGCATCCAGGCAGCAGTGCAGAGTTGAGGGACAACATTTTCGTCTTCAGGCCTCAAACTAAACATTAAACCTACAGGACAGGATTAGCAACATCTCTTTAATAATTCATGATCCTTTATGACATACACGAAGGATCCTCCTCCTCACACAGAGGCGCACACTGGCTATCTTAGAAATCTGGAAAAGAGGAGATTGAAGACAGGGATACCTCCTGCTCTTGGAAGATTTCTTTTTCTGTTTGGGGTTGGAAGAATAGGGTCTCAACTCAGCCAGGCTGGCTTTGAACCTGATATGTAGCTGAGGATGGCCTTTAATGTCCAATCCTCCTGCCTCCATATCACAAGTACTGGGATTACAGGTGTGCCCCTCCACAGCTGGCCTTCAGTCATCCTAGTCACTGATCACTGCATGTGCAGAAATACACAGAGAGCAGGAATTTTCCTTATTTCCCCCTAACTGTATACTATTTCATATTATTCATTTTTCAATAGGAAATCTTACTACCCCAGGGTCTTCAAAGCTTGCTTATCTGACAGAGACCCAATACCCACTGTTTGGGTGCTGGACCCCTTTGGTCACAAAATAAATGTTTACCTTGAGCAAGACTGGGATGGGGCCAGAGCTGATACTGAAGGGGCGGGGGGGGGGGGGGGGGGCTCAGCCTCAATGAAGGAAAAGGATCTTATCCATTTTGATGTCTCTGTCCTTTTCAGTGGCTCCTTTCATGCCCCCACCCCTTTCCTCTGCCTTTTCTTCTTCTTGGTGTCCAGAAGCAGGCCAGAGGTGCACTGATCCAGCAGTGAGTAGGCTGTTTCAGATCTGCCTTACCCCCGCAGCCTCGGGGCCCTAGCCTCTAAACAAGGATTTAACCTGGTGCCTGTCACAAGATGAACCTTGAGCTTGGAGCCTAGAGATCTAGATTCACCCCTGGGCTCTTAAATTAACATATTCCCTCATCTGTGAACTCCTGAGAACTAACGCTGAGGATTAAACCAAGTGCTTGCGGGGGAGCCTGGCGCTGGCAGGCTGGCAGCTGACCTTGCTTCCGGGCACACTGCTCCCTTCCTACATCCCAGGATGCCCCATGTCCTCCCAGGCTGCTCCCCTCAGCATTAGAGTGGCCAGCAGGGTTCACACCCAGGAAGTCAAACCTCTCTGAGGCACAGAGGCTGGGCAGTCAGGAGACTGAAGGACTAGGGAACAGACACCAGAGCGGGACAGAGAGCAGGGGATGGATGGGTGTCTGGCTTCTGCCTCTCCACTTCGCTGCCTCACTGGTCCCCTATGCTGCGGTCTGTTTCCTGAGGGAATGGTTCTCTGAGGTCCCACTTACCCCACCAGGCCAGCTGAGGGAGGCACAAGATGGGTAAGCAGGGTGCCAGTCCTGGGACAGTTCCGAGAAGACCGTATGAATACGTACGTCTGTAATCCCAATGACCGAGAAGAAACTGTTGGTGCATCAACACCCCCAGCCCCATGCTGCTCCTTGAAGACAGGCCCCCTAGTTGATTTAGCTCTCTTAGGAGCTACTTCCTGTTTCAGGAAACTTCTTAGTCAAAGAGCTAGCAAGGAGCCCTTCTCACCTGGCAGTCGGATGTCCATGGTCACTGTCCAACACCGAGTGCAAGGGTGGGTCTGCCACTCACAGACCTCAGTCACAGTGCAGGACTGGTTAGAGGAAGGACACCTGGCCCCGCACCCAGCAGGGGTCAATGCCGTCAGCCAGGGAGAATTGACTCAGTCCAGCGAGCGATCACTGTTGGCAAATATCTAATTGGCTGGAGCTTTGGAATGGCTACTCCTTGATCGTGCTGTTCTTTCTGTCTGGCTTGGCTCGCCCTCACACGCTCCACACAGGGAGGGACTAAAGTGTTTCAGTCTGAGCAAGGTAAGATATTCTGCAAACCAAGATCCACCTTCTCTCCAGCCATTCTGACTTCTGTGGGATTTACAGCAAGGCTCCATCTTCCTTCTGAGTGATCCGCTTTTCTTCTGTCACTGACAAGGGTGAAGGGAGCCGTTAATTTTGGTTTCTATTGCCTTGTTAGCTTACTTACATGGCTGCACTTACGGGTGAATTTATTACTTATACCGGCAAAAATAGCTCCTTGTTTAGTCCACCACCTTGCTCCTTGTGAGAGAAGTTGACTAACGTGCTACAAACCTAGTTAGTGTGCTTTAAAAATAATTTTATTTAAGAAAATTGAGATATGGTTTCATGTATCCCATAATGGCCAAGAATTCACCATGTAGCCACAGATGATCTTGAACTTTTGATCCTTCGGACTTCAACGCCCTAATGCTGGGATTAGAAGAAGCTTGGGCAGCCACCACGCCTGACTTAGGCAGTGCGGGTGGGGGGGGGGTGTCAAACTCGGCCTCACACACGCTAGGCAAGCCCTCTAGCATCTGAGCTACATCCCTACATCACATGACTCATTTGGAACCACCCCTTCCACTTTGTCATGCCTATAGAAGCAAGTTTCATCACCCCATCCCTTCAGTTCCAAGACTAGGAGGAGTGTGTAGGTGAAGCCGGCCACTTCCAGGCTAAGCCCTGGCCAGCTCGTGGGTCAGCAGGCTCCTGTGTCGTTTCCCGTTGGTTCCCACCAGGCTTCCACTCCCCAGAGAGAGCCGACTGCTTCCTCCCAGACCGATGAGAACTGGGAAGTCAGCGCTCAGGGTCAGGGACAGAGATTTGTTGCTAGTCCCTTCCCTGAAGGGACTGGAAAGACAAGGGGCCCCTGGCATGGAAGAGGAGAGAAGCAATGCACGAGGGGTCCTGAGACACATCGTAGAGTTCCAGGAGAGGGTGACAACCGTCTGCTTACTTGAGAGCTTCGTGGATTGCAAGCTGAGCTCTGTCTCAGTGCATCCTCAGTCACAGTGACGCAGTGAAGGAGGTGCTGCATACCATCTTTCCAACTGTCCTCCACAGAGGGGTGATAGGGAGCCAGCACCATAAGGGAGTGAGTGACTGTTCAGGAGAGAAATAACCTGAGGTGAGCTGAGCGGGCAGCTGTATACTATGCTGGCATTTGGGGAATCTGAGCTTGCTCTTGAGGTATCTGTGGTGGTTTCAAAGAAAATGGCTTCCAAAGCGAATGGCACTATTAGGAGGTGTGGCTTTGTTGGAGTGGGTGTGACCTTGTTGGAGGAAGTGTGTCACTCTGGGAGTGGGCTTTGAGGTCTCATACATGCTCAAGCCACACTCAGTGAGACAGTCTACTTCCTGTTGCCTGCAAGATGTAGGACTCTCAGTTACTTCTCCAGCACC